ATATATATATATATAAACATATATAATATAAATCATCAAAGGTACATATACAGTGTTTAATAAGGACATGATGGAACATCGTATGCTACCCTGTAGATTTTCAACGAATAAAGTCCTATATTCGTTACCGGTATTCGTTGAAAAGCTACAGGGTAGCCTATACATATATATGTATATATACCTTTGATGATTTATAATATATTTATTCAACAGTGTTAACGGCTAACTTCCTTTAATATCATATATAATATACGACAGTATTTCTAGCCGTTTTTCCAGATTTATCTGGCCGAACGCCCTCTTGAGGCATAGCATTGTGTAATACAATGTTCCCGACGGGTATTTGGGTCTGTTCAACCATTAAGCCTTCGTGGTCCAGTGGTTATGACGCTCGCCTTGTCAGCGAGAGGTCGCAGGTTCGAATCCCGTCGGAAGCATTTTATTACACAATGATTTTTCATAGGACTTTGTTCGTTCAAAAGCTACAGGGTAGCCTACGATGTTCCATCATGTCCTTATTAAACACTGTATATGTATCTTTGATGATTTATATTATATTTATTCAACAGTGTTAACAGCTATCTTCCTTCAATATTATATATATACATATATATAGGCCCTATATATATATATATATATATACATATTATATATTCATAAATATAGATAATATATTTAGTGTTTATCTCTATGTGTGAAGAATTATAGTTGCTTTAAAATAATTCAACAACCATTAGCCCATTAGCTCGTTTGATACATTTATTGATATTTCTTGTCCATTTCGTGTAAAATTCTGAGCTTGTTACTTACCACACGGGCCACTGTGATCTGCACATGGGCCTACAGATAAATTTGAAAAGAATTGTAGTTAAACTGTGTGAATTCCACAAACATTGCAAAAGTCGGTATAAGAAATCAACCAGGAAACAATTGATGACGATTGTGAAACGGATTATAATTACACACATATAAACAAACTAACTTGTTCTAATTATTCTTGCTACAGTAAACTGAAGCGAGTACAATTATAACACAGTCCATAAAAAAGTATAAACGAAAATAAATTATAAAACTTCTTATTGGTTATACTGTATGTAATTGAATATAGATAATTTTAGGCAATATATCAATAGTATTATAAGGGTGTACGGTAAGAATGACCCCGGTTAAAATGGCCCCGGAAAAATGTCCCAGGTAAAAATGGACCCGGTAAAAGTGGCCCCAAGTGACAGGTAGGTAAAAATGGCCCAAATAATAAAATTCTGTATTAAAACTGATTTTTAAAAAATCATAATATGCATTTTTTTTAACTGAAATAATTTAGTTTTTAAAAGGAATCTAACATCAAATAAATTGCCATTTACATACTTTTTTCAAGAATTACATATTCAATGATAAAATATTCAAAGATAAAAAAAAACCATGAATAACACTTTTTATTTCTTTTTCCATTTAAATGTTAAAAAAAGCAACAACATAATCAATAAATCAACATAAATCATGCATTTATTAATATTAAAATAATTTATTTGTGGCCAATTTTACAGAAGCGGAATCACAATTTTCCAGAAATTCAATCCTGGTATTGCAAACGTGCAAAATGGGTTGATATGAACATCAAATTAATTTTCTTTTTAAGAAAAAGAGAATAATAATAATAATAATAAATACTTAGCCCTAACAGCCACCCATACAAAAAATATCTATTAATTAATCAATCAGCTAAAAACTAAGTTATTTTACTTTTCAACTATGCATATGGTTTCTGTTGAGTTATTAATTCATTTTTTCAGAGTATTTTACAGCATTTGAAAATTTATTTTTTTTCATTGAATTTTATAAATGTCCGCCATGTTTTATTTATTGATTCAATACTTGCTATTTAACAGTATTTAAATATTTAAAGATTTTGAAAAAAAAATCATTTCTATTAATAAAGTGTTTCATTGGGGCCACTTTCACCTAGTTGTAAAATTTCACCTAGTTGTAAAATTGAAAAAAAAATCATTTCTATTAATAAAGTGTTTCATTGGGGCCACTTTCACCTAGTTGTAATTTGGGGCCATTTTGATCGTGGCCCTTTTTATCGGGGCCATTATTACCGGGGCCATTTTTTACCGAGGCCATTTTTTCTTACATCCATTGATCTACAATGGAGTGAAGCGTATTAATGTGACAGCGAATAAATGCGCATGGGTACGCGTAGAGTTCCAAATCGGTCTTAGTGCCCTTTGTGAAAATGTGTGATACTATAATAACAAGTGAGTAAGGTTAAAAAAAAAAGAAAAGAAAAAAAAGAAGAAAAAAAAAACAGTTCACGTGAAATGTATACTTACGACACAAGCCGTTATCACATTGGCCAACCCCTGAGGAGCATTCTGAGCACGCAGGACCCAAAAGGTAAGGCCTCTGTCCTACATAGTTACCACTGAAAGAAAAATAGAATGAGTTATTAAGGCAAGTGAAACAGTATCTTTCCAGTAGCAAGTCACGGTTTAAGCGGGAAGGAGTGAATTACTGCAGGTCAATGGATTTTGAAATTATAAAGCTTAATCTGCTCATTATCATAACAAACAAACACCCAAGACTAAATAAAAATATAAATATAATGTAGAGTATGTCTGTATCTTTTATTCTATATCGATATCAAACACATAAAAAATGACAATTTACAAAATACTTTTTTTTTGGCAGTCATTGGCCCGAATTCATCATCATTTTCTTCCCAGATATTCAAAATGTATATTTTGTCGGTGGTGGTGGCAAAAGGAATTGATTGACAATTTTTCCAAAAACTATTTTTTTTTAGTCAATATTAAAGCACTAATAATTTTGACATAGGCCTATTTGAATATGCTAAAATCCCACTAAGTGACAAGTAATTGTCACAAAAAGGAAGTATGAGTTCTGTATAAGTATGAAAATACAGTAAAAAAAACCCGCCAGAAATGGAAGCAGGGGAAGAATTACCAAACAAAATACTCCATTTATGCATGAGTGGTTGCATACACAAAGATCCATAAGAGGATTAACAGTGATAGAATAGGAGCTGGCTAATACAAATGTTTGTTCCTATACTCAAAACAATGTAAATAATAGTTACTTCCATTTTGACAAGGGCAGAGTACTGCACAGTTATAGTTGTAGTAGTAGTAGTAGTAGTAGTAGTAGTAGTAGTAGTCGTAGTAGTAGTAGTAGTAGTAGTGGTAGTAGTAG